GGGGAAGTGTTGTGATCAAGGGTAAATAGGTCAGCCTCCCCTATTGGAGGGGAAGAAAGGTAAACTTTCCACCAAAGAGGTTGGACTTAGGAAATTGGGTCGTTCTGGGAGCAGAAGTGGGTTGGACCATGCCTAGCCATTGGCCCAGTCCGGAACAATTTCTTTCATGCGTTTGCATATGCGTTATAATCAAGCTTTGTTTCAAGTTTCATTCCATCTCTCTGAATCTTAAAGCTGCATTTTTAGGGTTTTAATCTTCTCCAATGTCAAAGTTGTCAAGCTGTGGTTCCCTTGGAACAATTGGATTTATTATTCGTAAAAATAAGAGGAGAGCATGTTATTGCCAAAATGAATGTATCTTTCATGCCGTGGGTGACATGAACAATGTAAACTTTGGGGGGAAATTCTGGGGTTATAGAAATTATATGAATAAGGGTTGTAATTTCTTCAAGTGGTTAGATGAAGAAATTGTTGATGAAATGGATTTGAAGATTCAAAGGAAAAAGAATAAAATTTACAAAATGAGGAATCAAGTTATCCACACTAGAGAATGGTTAAAAATGTCCATTGTGGTTGGGATTTTGAGCTTAGTGTTGAATGTTGTTTTTGTAACAATGTATTTTTAGGTTAGGATTTCATCTGTCATGAGTGTATTGTATCTGTCACGAGTTTATGAGTGAAACTATCATGAGTTTATGCATTTTGTGTGCCACGAGTTTATAATTGTGTCCCATGAATTAATCTATTTGTGTGACATGAGTTTATAATTGTGTCCCATGAATTGTATTTGTCATAAGCAATTTGTAATTGTGTAACATATTAGAACAAAAATATGTATAATTTGGAATTGTGTAACATAACCATAACATTCCATATCATTCAAATAATAAGCCATATGACACACAAAAGTGGAATTATACGCCATAAGTTACATAAATTGTCATTATAAGTCATAAACTACAAAAGAGGCATTATAAGTCATATGACACACAAAAGTGGCATTATAAGCTATAAGTTACAAAAATTATCATTATAAGTATTAAACTGCAAAAGAGGCAGTATATGCCATATGATAGATAAAAGTTGCATTATACACCGTAAGCTACAAAGTGGGATTATATGTCATTACATCAACCAGGACACATTAAAACAACAAAGCATAACTATTGGGGATGCCTCAGAATAAGTTTTAGGCCTTTTTGAAGTATCCTTTTCTTTTTGGGTGGTTCTTGAGTTGAAGTTGCAGTTGGTGTTGACTGAGTTGAAGTTGCAAATGGTGTTGGCTGAGTTGAAATTGCAGTTGGTGTTGGCTGAGTTGTAGTTGGTGTTGGTGTTGGCTAAGTTGAAGTAGCAAGTGGTGCTGACTAAGTTGTAGTTTCAGGTGGTGTTTCATGTGACCTTGTTGTGACCATCTTTATAGCACCGACTGCATTTGACACCAAAATTTGCTCGTTTGAGCTGTGACTTATTTCTCACTTGTTCTCCAGCCTCCTTGTTCCTTTTCTTCACCCATAGTCATAATAGGTTTGACTCTTGCAGCTGCAAATACTAAGTTGAATTTCGCTGACATGTTGTTCACCAAAGTATCACATCTTGGACTAGTTATAAACCTCGATTCGCTCTAAAACCTTGGCGTAATCGTCCAAAGGTGCTTGAATGCATATTAATTAACACTTCCTATTTCACGCATCATTTTCCTCAAGCATTTATATGAGTAGCAGTAGTATCCTTCCACATCAGTTCCTTTAGTTTAACATCTAGACACTTCTTTTTGAAATTGTTGTATAAATGCCTACACAAATGCTCCAAATATCAAATGTCAAATATGACGTATCCAAATATCACATTCTGGCACAAATATCACATATCAAATATGACTTATACAAGTATGAGTACCTAACATAAAAACTTTAGACAACCTTTGGTAGCAACTCATCAAGTGCTGGAAATAAACCCTGCATTACAGTTAAAATAAATATGTCATGAATGTGTAAGTCTAAAACTCCTTAATGTGTAAGAAATAATTAAAACTAATAATTCATATCCACCTTTTGTTGATCACTTATAAATGTACAAGTCTTGCATAACCTGACACCTCCCAAATCATATGTCAATAGCTCCAAAAACTAACTCTGTGAATCTTTGGTTTCACCCTCAACAACAACAAATTATATTGGCAACATTTAGTCATTTGGATCCCTCCTAATGGATGCAAGTATCTCTCCACCATAATAACCATTTATAAAACACCTATTCAATCCTATGATAGGTCTGCACTTTAAAAAAACTATCTTTGCAAGCTTTGAAACATATATAAATCCTTTGGAAATATGGATTCAAAGTCCTATTAGGATGTTCACTACTTTCCTCTCCACCTTGAATTGGTTGAATTGTAATTTTCACAGTTGATCCAGAGTTTTCCCTTAACATCTCATGACCATAATCATGGATTCTTGTATATTACTTCCTAAATGAACCATCAACAATGTCAACAACAAGTGACTTTGCTATGTATGCAAGTGTCTTATTGATCCCTACATTCCACTTTTGTTTTGTTTTCTCCATTATATCATTCAACTTCAAATTATAATTCTCTCTTATATTAGTTTGAATCTTTTTGCCCAACCATTTGGAATTAAGGAATCTAACCTTATAATCCCTTCTGCATGTGTGCTTGTCCACTATTTTTCTCAACTGCCAAGTCTCTTTATTTTGTATTTTTGCACAATATGAATCCCATGGACAACCTTTCTTACATACCATTTTCATGCTTTTGTTATCATTTTTCTTAAATTTCAGGTTTATACCAGAATGAATAACATATGTTCTAATTGCCTATTTAAAGTCTTCCTTAGTAGCAAAATAAGTCCCTAATTTCCACTTGCAATCCTCAATTATTTTTGGAAGCTTGAATGTTTGAAAATTATATTTTAAAACCTCTTCATCTTCACTATCATACACTTAAGGTAACTCATCACTATCATATTCCTCAATGTCACTCAATCTTGTAAAGCTCTCCTTTGGAACCTCACCTTCATTCACATCAACAATTGAACCACTACTTTCCCTGGTCTCCCAACCTTGGCTTTCCCTTTCTGTTTACTTTTTCCTCTGCCATTCCCCTTTCCTTTACCTTTTCCCTTGCCCTTCCCCTTTCCTTTTTCCATCCTCATTATCAACTATAATTTCTTCACCAAATCCTATATCATCCTTATCTGAATATTCAAAGTTCACATTTAAAACACGGTCATCTTCACTACCACCACCATCTTTTTGGTTACATTCTAGTCCCTCATCTTCTTCTTGGTTACAAATTAGTCCCTCAACTATTGAATCCTTTTGAACACATACCAGATAAGGTGTGCCATCCAATACATCAGCTTCTTGACCATATACCATATAATCAATTCCCTCTCCAAAGTAATAACCACTATTGCATCCTCAAACAAAATGGTCCCTCCAAATTAACTTCCTCACATGAATATTTTTGGTTAATGCCCTTAGTGGTCCCATCCAAATTAACATCCTCACATGAAGATTCTTGGTCAACTACATCTTCTACAACAATGGTCCCTCCTTCATCAAACATGTCACTTAGATTATTCAGCTCTTCAAAAGTATCAAAATCATCAAAAATACATTTTACACCATTATTCAAATCATCCAAATTATCGCCTTCTAAACTATTTAAATCCTCCAATATGTCCTTATCTCTTACCTCACATTATTTATCCTTTCCATTGGGTCCTACATTGTTTTTTAGAGAGAGTATTTGCTCTTCCCCCTAAACTGAATGCATGGCATATAAATGCACATTCCCATTAATCAGTGCTATGATTCTTATTCTATTTGTTTATGTATCATCTTTCAACAAAACTAGCTCATTAACATCCATTACATCATAATACCACAAACTTTCCACTTTTGGGTACCCTAAATCCTTTAAACCACTCAGAACCTCAAAATAACTCAATAAATTAGGGTTTACTTTCCAAACTTCCTCTAACCCCTTGTAACCTAATATGTTAAACTCAACAAACATACCCCCGTGATGGATAACACACTGAAACCTATCAGTCATGACCTAATTAGACCAAATAATGAAGAAATGAGTCTTTGAAGAAGGAGAAAACGATAAAAGTTTGCTTTTTAATACAGTAAACATATAATCGTACCTTAGAACAATGGTGAAAACGTTAATGTATCATCTTCTCTGTCGCTCCAAGTATCATCTTCTTTGTCGCTCCAAGTCTTCTTCTTCACAACTAGGGTTTTAGAGTATGAGAGAGTAAAGTAGTGAGTTAGGATTCGAAACTGAAGAGTTTCAGAGAGATAAGTGTGCTTTTGCTGGTAGGTGAACAGTTCAAAAATGATTTTTCTAAAGTTGGAAATGATTTTCATAATTTAAATAAATGTATTAATAATTAGAAAAACCAAACAAGATGCCATGTCATATTTTATATATTGCACAACTATCACGTAGGCATTTTTTTTAACGTTTTTCATATATAATTTAACAGAAGAGACTTATTAAGGTAACGAAAGTGTTTTAAGAGACTAGAGCGTAACATGTTTTAATTATGAAACTAAATTGAAACAATAAATTAAATTAAGGAACTAAAAGATGAATTAAGCCAAATTTAATATAAACATGTTTCAAAAAAAAATTGGATAAATAAAAGTAATTTTAATATTTACTACTAAATTTAAATTTGGGTGAATGAGGATCCAATGTTTTTGGAATGTGACTAAAACAATTTAAAATATTTATCAATCCGTTTAATATTCTCTTTTCTTTTCTATGTATTGGTGTTAGTGGGAATCATAGACACATTGCGTTTTGGAAATCGGGGATTGACATTTTCAAAGCAAGACTTTCAACTTGGAATGGCAAGCTAATTTTGATTGGAGGGAGAGTTACGTTAATTAACTCAGTATTAACGAATTTGCCGGTTCACTATCTTGCCTTTTATAAAGCCTCGAGTAAAGTCGTGAAACAAATGGTGGCTATTCAACGTAGATTCCTTTGGGCTGGGAGTTCGGATTCTAACACGGTGGCGTGGGTGAGGTGGTCGCAGGTTTGCAATCCTATGGATAAAGGTGGCTTAGGTATCAAAAGTATTTATGGGTTTAACATTGCATTGCTATCCAAATGGCTTATGAGATTTATTCGCGAACCAGCTGCTATATGGAAAAATTTGATTAAGTTCAGGTACAATAATTTAGTTAAACACATTCTGTTGAATTCTGATTCATTTACTGCTTGTGTAAATTCATTATGGTGGAAAGACGTTTGTATATTGACTTATATCCATGATGATACGGGTTCCTTGGGAAAGATGGCGTGCAAATTAGGTAATGGCAATCTAATTTCTTTTTGGCATGCTAAGTGGGTAACTAATAAGCCCTTGAGAAGCGTTTTTCTTGTTGTATATATTGCTTCTGAAGCTAAGTTTGGTGTTGTAAGTGATATGGGAAGTTGGTATGAAGGTGGTTGGCGGTGGAATTTGTCAGGCGGGTTGGTTGATCATGATTCTAAAGTGCAGGGCAAATTGATAGACCTGCTAGAAATTCTTGCAGACATTTCACCCTTTCCAGATTCGTTCGACCATTTTATTTGGCCAAGAGCATCTATTACTCCATTTTCAGTTAAGTCTTGATATGATGGATTAATGAGGGATCGAGGGTTATGAGACTTGAACATTAATCTCAAGACTGCTTTAGATTTGGTTTGGAATACTAATATGCCTAAGAAAGTTAAGATGTTTAGTTGGAGTCTTTGCTTGGATAAAATTGCCACTTAATTAAATCTGGAGGTCAGGGGAATAATATCGAATTCGTACAAATTGATTTGTATTTTTTGCTTTAACTCTCTTGAATTTTCTGATAATCTCTTTCTTGATTGTCTGCATGTTTGTTTTGTTTAGAAAGCGGTTTTCGATTGAATCGATATTAAGGATTTTGTAGCTTCTAATTGTTATGACCACTTTGTAGAAGCACACTTCAATCTCAAGGTTTTGATGATGTCAACAAAGACTTAAGCTCATTCCATGATTGCAAAAAGTCAAGCTTTCAAAACTGATCAAGATCGAGACTATGGAATGGCGTCATGCAAATCAAGCATCATGTGTAAATGTTCATACAACTTTCAAGATTTGGACTCAAAGCTTCGGTATATCAATATTCACTCCTTTAATTGATATACAAGTGTTCAAATAATTTATCATATCAACATTTTGCATATGCATGGTTTTAAAATCATTTGGAATTGGGATAACACTTTTAACTCAAGTATTTTTCTGAGTTTTAACAGTGTTAACCGATTAACCATATGGGTTAATCGGTTAACAGCCTCAAATTTTAAATTCTCAGGGCTAACGTTCAAGTGTTAACCGATTAACCTATATGGTTAACCGATTAACACTGAACGAATTTTGAAAAATTGTTTCTTTTTAAATTCAAATCTTGTTTGAATGTTATACCTTTTCATTATTTAATTCTTACTCAATTATACCTTTTTGAAATGGTGTTTTGCTCATATAAATTCTGAAAATTTCAAATTGAAAAACACCTCCAATAATTTTCAAAATAATCATTAAATCAAATTCACTACTTTTCAAATATTTTCAAAAAGTGTTCATATTGTTCATACCATTTCATATCCAAAATTTTTGGACACTTGTATTGATATTGAAAAGTGAATTTTTATCAAAAGGAGAAGATCAGTCTTTGTATTGATATTATTATTATATCACTCTCAAATTACAAAATTACAAGAATTATTTCTTTGTGACTTGTGATCCAGGATTGTTGGACACAAGGGTTAGTGCTTGCAAGAGGATTGTTCTTGCACACTAAGTTGTTGAAATAATTGTTAGATAGTAGGCCTCACCGGTTGATGGTGTGATAGGTTGTACATTCTAAAACTATAGTGAAAACTCTCTTTCATGTGGAAAGGGGAGTGGAGTACCTTTGGATTATGAAGGGAACCACTATAAATCTCGGTGTCCATTTTCATTCTGCTTTTACTGCTTTCATCATCAAGATCATAACCAAGTAAAACTCAAGAATATTGAAACCCCCCCTCTTAGGCATACTATGAACTTACAATTGGCATCAGAGCAGGTTTAGGTAACCTGTTCCTAACGATTCAGTATGGCTTCCGCTAGCACCAACCCGGTTTTCAAAGACGGTGTGTCACACCTCGAAAATTCATTCAAACATACGACCCTCGCGCAAAAGGCGCGGAAATGCGATTCGACAGAGTCGCCACCGAACTTTATTTTCCCGAATAAACGGGAGAGGAAAATATCGAGAAAACCTCATAAATACGGAAGGAACACGGACGTCACAACCATATTCCTGGGTTCAGGAGTCGGTTACGCGAGGGGAAGGTATTAGCACCCCTCACGTCCGTTGTACTCAACGGGAACTTCTTAATTCGAGTTGTGATGGATGCTAGCTAAACTTAATTCTTCTCTTCTCAATACTAAATACTAAAAGGATACTATAAAGGGATAAAGACGCTAAGGGGAAAGGGGGTGGTTAGAGGATAGGGTGCTCGCCAAGGATTGGGGCCCTTGTGCCTACGTATGCTCATTCGGACGAGAATGAGAAATTAGAGCGTCGTAGTTTGACTACGGGAAAGGATGTGGGGAATGGGAAGATGGAGGGGATTGTGCTCGCCAAGATTATCACAATCTTGTGCCTACGTATCTTACATTTAAGAGTGAATGAAGAATCAGAGCAATCGTAGTTCATGGTAACGACCACGAAAGAAACGGGTTTGAATTGGTTTGAAGGTGGATACGAATGACGATTACTTAAAGCTTAAGAAAGACTTCTCAGACCCAAGTAATCGGGAGAGTGAACTAAAGACTTGAAACTCTCTCTTTTTCATCGTGAAAAATAAGGTTGTGTTTGAAAGGGTGAAGTTGAACGGATGGCGACTACTTGAAGCTTAAGAAAGGCTTCTCGGACCCAAGTAGTCGGGAGAGCGAACCAAGGACTTGGAACCCTCTCTTTTTCATCGTGAAAAGAAAGTTGTTTGAGTTTGAAATGACATTTAAAAGGATGAGTAGTTGAAGGATGGTTGAATGATGTCGAGTTTTTAATGTTATTTAGAGGCGTCAATTGCTCACACACGAATAAGATAACTCGCATTCAAACAACCGAAAGCAAGATCAAAGACTTGAACCTACTCTTTACACCTTGAAAAGAATTAAATAATTGTTAGTTGATTGATGGTTTGTTTCGAAAATCCGCTTGACGTTGGATCAAGGGTTTGACTTATTATCGCGTGCAAAACGTGTAGTGGAAATGGTTTGAGAAAACGATACATTAATGAAAACCAAATACGAATAACAATTGTTCAAAGCATAAAGTACTTAAACAAACAAAGACAAAATATAAGAACTGCGAATAATGAAATAGCAACATGACTGCCTTCTTCGAGGAATGAACTTGACTGGACTCAATCTGATGTTGGCACTAGCTGACCGGTGGCATAGGGTTGTTGATATTGTTAAGATACTTCCCATCAAAGGTGAGAGCTTTGTTGTCACCAGGTCTTGAACTTTGTGTTTGAAAGCTCTGCAATTCTCGATCATATGGCCTGGAGCACCCTTATGAAACTCGCAATGAGAATTCGCATCATAGTCAGCAGGGAGAACAATTGGGGGAGCTAGATCTCTCAGAACGACAACCTTCTTCTCCGTCAGCTGAGCAAAGATACTAGCATATGTCATTGGTAGGAGATCAAATACCCTATCTGGCCTCCATGTCCTTTGTTGGTTTCACCGACGCGGTCGTTGAACGACTCGCTGTATTGATCCCTTTCTGGTTATGGCAAGTGCTTCAAAGATCTGATCAATCTTTTCCTTAATGGCTTCCAACTCCTTTCTAATGGCAACTTGCTCTTGTTGAATCTTCTCCATCATTCGTCTTGTATTGGCTCTAGTCGCGTACTGGTGTCGATGAATCAGCTTGATTTACTGGATATGAAGGAAAGAGAAACATGAGAAACTGCTGAAGGAAGGAGAATGCAAGATGCACAACAAATGAGATGCAATGCAAATGATATGCAATACAAGATGCAAGATCCAGGATCACAAGATCACAAATTCAAACAGTTCTGAGAATTAGTCGGGTGAACGGTTCAAGGATCACAGTCACTGCTCAAAGAAACCCCACGGGTAGGATTCTAAAACGGGTAGGTGTCTAGAGTCATGGATATCTTTCAAAGATATTACATCCATGACAAAGCCTCATCACAACGATAACATCCTCAAAAGAATCTCCTCTAGGTGAGGTTCTCGTATCTTCCACGAGAGAAAGACTTCTCGGAGGCGTCAACTACACAACCATCGACACACGGGTTCTAGAAAAGGTTCTCAGAGTTATAGATCGAGGTTGAAAATACTACTGTAAGGAAGTAATACGTTCAAGGAATCTCATCTGATTGGGGCGTTCGTATTAATTCACAAAGAATTAACACTACCAACCACCATGGATAAAACGGTTAATGGTCCTTGGGATCAACGATTCAAGCTCAAAAACATCATTTCCATGGCAAAGACTCACCACAACAACAACATCTCCAAAGAATCTACTCCAAGCAGGGTTTTCGCCTCAACTCAACGTGAAAGGCTCCACGCAAGTCTCCACTACACAACCACCATCCTAATCTCGGACTCGGGTGTAGAGCCATCTCACAAAATAACCTTAAGCATATCAACCCCCACAATGCCTCAAGCATACGTAACCAAGACAAGGAAACAAATAAAAACCGAGAAGAATAAAAAAACAACAAGCTAACAACTCAAACTAAGATAGGCTCGACTCTCTCTTGCATGGAGCAAAGTCCCCAGCAGAGTCGCCACCTGTCGCACCTCGAAAATTCATTCGAACATACGACCCTTACGCAAAGGGCGCAGAAATGCGGTTCGACAGAGTCGCCGCCGAACTTTATTTTTCCCGAATGAACGGGAGAGGAAAATATCGAGAAAACCTCATAAACGCAGAAGGAACACGGTCGTCGCAACCATATTCCTGGGTTCGGGGAGTCGGTTACGCGAGGGGAAGGTATTAGCACCCCTCACGTCCGTTGTACTCAACGGGAACCTCTTAATTCGAGTTGTGATGGATGCTAGCTAAAAGTAATTCTTCTCTTCTCAATAATAAATACTAAAAGGATACTATAAAGGGATAAAGACGCTAAGGGGAAAGCGGGTGGTTAGAGGATAAGGTGCTCGCCAAGGATTGGGGCCCTTGTGCCTACGTATGCTCATTCGGACGAGAATGAGAAATCCGAGCGTCGTAGTTCGACTACGAGAAAAGATGAGGGGAATGGGAAGATAAAGGGGATTGTGCTCGCCAAGATCATCGCAATCTTGTGCCTACGTATCTTACATTCAAGAGTGAATGAAGAATCAGAGCAGGCGTAGTTCGTGGTAACTACCACGAAAGAAACGGGTTTGAATTGGTTTGAAGGTGGGTACGGATGACGATTATTTAAAGCTTAAGAAAGACTTCTCAGACCCAAGTAATCGGGAGAGTGAACTAAAGACTTGAAACTCTCTCTTTTTCATCGTGAAAAATAAGGTTGTGTTTGAAAGGGTGAAGTTGAACGGATGGCGACTACTTGAAGCTTAAGAAAGGC